TACGGTGTTTTCAGGAGTGAATAATATTAGATTATTATATAATTAAAAATCAATTATTATTCACTCCTGATGTTATGCTGCTTCTGCTCCTACACATGTGCCAACAACGCTGCAACGTTAGCATCAAACATTCACACAACACGTGATACGGTGTTTTCAGGAGTGAATAATATTAGATTATTATATAATTAAAAATCAATTATTATTCACTCCTGATGTTATGCTGCTTCTGCTCCTACACATGTGCCAAAAACACAGCAACGTTAGTACCAATCATCGCAGGTGAGCTACGCCACGTCTGCTTTCGCTAGCAGACACAGTGGGTAACGACCACATTATAAGATGGTATCGCTGTCATAGATTACTAGTGTTGCATCGCTTTTGTCTAGTTATACGAGCTGATGTATATTGCAGGATATCGTTAATCCCAAAGCGCTGGTTTTCTCGTACTGTAGAGTAGTTGAACCCACCTGTAGCACAGAGCAAAGATGGCGAATGCCACGAGCACGGCTCCAACCACGGCTCCAAGAATAATAAACATCAGTTCGCGTGTCACCGCTGAGTTCGATAAATCTGTAAACACAAAAGAAAGATGTGAACAAATGCCAGCCGCGGGGATTCGAGAGGGTGTATTTTGCACAGCTTTTGATCTTGTGAAGTAATAGTTTCCTATCCATTAATCACAGTGATGTAGCGGAGTAAAAACAAGTTGCTAAGCTAAATACGAACGAATAGCCTAAAAAAACACGTGACAAAAACACATTAAATGAACTAAAAAAAATATACATTTTCCCCCTTGCCATGATCGCTGGCACACTCACGCACTCTCGCAGCATGAATGCATACCGGGCTGCACTGTCCTCTTAACAATATGCTCTCACCTTGAGTCGCCACGGTTTCCTTGTCACTGTCCCACCCTTTCCGGATAAGCCTTCTTCCGCCATCCTCCCCGTACGATGCAAAGTCGTCGATGCCAAAGAGGAATGGACGCGCTGTTGTGCTTGTCGTCGTGGTTACGTTGATCTTGATGCTGCAGTCGAAGCCCATCCACATGTCAGCGCAGTGACACTGTCCCCTGTTGGTGCAGAGCTGTCAAAGTAAAATGCACATGAGTTTAATTATAGCTGTCATCAGGCAAAAAATGCAAAAACCTATCATATATATATATCATATATAAAAAACCTATCATATATATATCTATGCAGATACAGCGATGATAGAATACAGCGATCATGTTCAGATAGATTAAATTTTCCTGCTGTTCCTCACAAATTATTCTGCAGGATTGCCCTGATTTCTGCTCAATGAGACTCGATGAGTGTTTTTTCAAGTTAAGGTTTGGCTAAGCGCATTCAACAAAGGAAACATGGGACACAGCACATATTTTGAACAATCATTCAAACTGCGAGGTTCAATGATCAGTTGGTAGCACAGACGAGGGCAACCTACTCCGTCCTTTCTGCCCCGTACTCACCCCATGGTCTGAGCAAGTCTGGCCATGGTTGTTCTTTGGACAGTCTTCCGTCACAACCGAGCTCACGCTCACGCAATGCTGCTCGCTGCACATCTGAAACAATAAGGAGCAGTTAAGTTACAAGAGCCGGAGGGCAGCTACTTGTACAGTAGGCTCCTGAGCGGTGACTACACCAGTACAAGCGATAACCAATGGAAAACCAAGTCGTATGCAATTAAGCCTTGAGAACACTGGTGACATACCATTCCAGGTGCACACTTGGTTCCATCCATTACCAATCCGGTGTGTCTGGTTCCTGAAGGGTCTTTGCCACTGGCAGTTCTGGAAATAAGTGACAACTGCAATGAGATTCCTGACAGATTCCTGTTGAGGTTTCCACCTTTACAGGTGTTCCCTATGTGGCTTACTACAGGTGTTCCATATGTGGCTTATTACAGGTGCTCCCTATGTGCCTCACATCCAACCACATCCACTTTGTTTCTTCTTAAATTTCATACTTACTTGCACTCAAACTCACGGCCACCGACAGACATGGTCGTTTTCGAGAAGGTGTGTTTCAGGCCCGGGATAAGAGGCGTGCTTGATCCATGCTGACACTGTAGCAATCCACAGAACACGTGCCTACAGTACACACACACACACTCGAGTTAGACAAACAACATATGAATGCATGAAGCTGCTACACCACAGTAATAGCACCCTTTTCAGTTCCTAGTCATTAATTTAGGAGAAATGGCTTATGGAAATTGTCACAAAGATTTGCAGTATGCATCCATCTGTCCTTCATTGACAATTATGTTTGCATATGAATTCTTTGTTGTGTACAGTGTATGAGCATCATCCTTATGCACCTTCTTTCTAACTTCATTCTGATGATTCTAAATGATGCACAAATAGATTACAAGATTAAAATGCATAAACATCCATCTCTAATGTGAGATTATTTACTCATGATCTCTATTTATTCTGCCTACTGACAGATACACCCATCAACCAATCAAGTCACCAACTGACCGATCAATAAAGTAACTGACTGACCGACAGACAGACATACAGCCCGGTCAACCAACAAAAATACACGCACACAGACAGACACACAGACAGATAGATACACACACACAGACAGACAGACACACTGACAGGCAGAAAGAAGCTGGGCCTATAAGTACGTACTGTTTATCACAACTGACAGGCTGCTGCTTGTTGGTGCCACAGTTACCAATCTCACTGCCCTGCAGGTTGAATCTATTGTAGCACTGCTGGTCTCCCACCATCGACTCTGTAGCATGTTATACGACAATTAATATCAAAATGCCGAGTATATATAAAACAATATAAAACAATATAAAATACATTAATACAATATCTATATATATATAATGATGTAAATCATAACTCGAGCTAATTAATGTTGCGATATGGTGTTCTGAAAATTATGCCTAGTAACAAAGTGCCTTTAAGTAAGACATTATGACGTGCACACCGAAATGCAACATTTGAAGAGTGTGAGCCTCACCAACCTAGCAAGAATCATTGCTAGGTGTGAGTGCAAATCGAGTGGTTATCCCACTCAGGCGTATCGGTCAATTCAACCATGTTTTACAGCCAACTCACTGTTACGTCGTCGCGAGCGAACATGCCAACATTCCAACATTGCCAACATTACCGACATTGTCAACATTACCGACATTGCCAACATTACCGACATTGCCAACATTACTGACACTGCCAACATTACCGACATTGCCAACATTACCGACATTGCCAACATTACTGACACTGCCAATATTACCGACATTGCCAATATTACCGACATTGCCAACATTACCGACATTGCCAACATTACCGACATTGCCAACATTACTGACATTGCCAACATTACCGACATTGCCAACATTCAGCTGTCAGACATTCACCTGACCCCCCCCCCCCAGAGACTGATCATGACCTTCACTCACGTTTGCCCCAGACTGACCGACACTGCGCGGTCAGGGATGGACACAGCCCGCGGTGGCAGTAGTTGCGTCCGAGGTTGCACGGCTGGCCGTCCTGCACGTACAAGTCCATGGGACATCGGCCCGCCGCGCCGTCACACTGCTCCTCTATGTCGCACTCACTCCTCGCCTCTCTGCACGCGCTCCCACGAGGCTTCAGCTGTTCACAGAAATGCACGTACCCATCAAGCGGTAGCAACGCACGTAATACGGACGTTAACAAAAAAAAACATTTCCTGATAAGATCTATTTAATTTGTAACATAAAAACTTGGATAAGACACTATTATACAAGTATATATAATAAGAATACATAGTTTGTCAAACTCACTTTGTCAAAACAACATTTTGAAAATTATATAAAAATTATTCCAGAATTTTCTACGTAGTGGTGAACTACATGGCTGGGTGAATTTGGCTATAGACGACCTTACACTAACCCAAAGCATCAACTCTATTACAAATGCAGAATTATTAAAATAAAATGGAGTTAAGTTTAATCATTTTAATGAAATAGAAGCCTTTGTTCCCCACTTGATCATGAGCAAGCAGCAGAGAAGGAATATTCCAACATAAGCCAGCATTAGAGAACTACGTTACCTTGCACTGGTGGCAACAGGGCCCAGTAGAGCACTGTGCCTCAGGTAGTAACTTGCACGTATACACATCACAACATGGATCCTTCTTCTCACATTCCAGCTGAAAAGCAGAAGATACCGATTCTAGATTTACTATTGTCTGTTCTACATCATGGTCAGTTATGTAGTTGTACTGAAGAGCAACATAAGTAATAACAATATGTTTATGTTATAAATATTACAAAATTAATAAGCCAACCTATAGACCCTAGACTTCCCCATATCCACTCTTCATGCCCGCTTGTTTTACTCACAAACCCAACCATCCTCCCACAATATTAACCCATCACCCCCTCCCATTTTACTTACAAACTCAACCATCCACCCACAATACTAACCCACCTACCCTGCTGTTTTATTTATAAACCCAACCATACTCTCACAATATTACCCCCCCCCCCTATTTTAGTTCTAAACACCAAACTATCCTCCCATAATATGACCTCCCCCCCCCCCCTCCCATTTCACTTCCAACCCCTTTCCCCCTTCGCTCGAGTCCATGTATCAACACTATCAATTCCTCATTCATCATCCTTGTTTTACTTACAATCCCAACCATGCTCCCACAATATGAACCCCCCAACCTCCCCGTTTTAACTATCAACCCACCAGCCTCCCAACCCCCTATAGACCCACGGCGCTCACCGTTGCTCTCATCAGGTTGGTTCAGCAGTCGCACTACTCTCCCCTATAAACCCCACCAGCCTCCCACTACGCAGCCCTCCCCTTCGGTTGTGTCCATGCATCTCTCCCCTTCTCACCTGGTTCGCGCCGCAGTCGCACTGCTCTCCCGGCTCGAGGATGCCGTTGCCGCACGTGCCGTGATCGCGGCCGGCCTCGACGATCGTACGCGGTCGGTTGAGCAGGCAGCTTCCCGCACCCGTCTGCAGGAAGCGCTGGTAGTCGCTGCGGCTGCACGACGAAAAGTGCAGCGGGTGGAAGCCCTCCTTGCCGCTGTAATATGTCACAGATGTTCAGCATCACATTCACATCACATTCATCACATTCATCCATCATCACATTCACATCACATTCATTCATCATCACATTCACATCACATTCATCATCATCATCCAATCACATCATGATCACATTACTTGCTGACATTGAGCATCAGCAGCGCATCGCGCTACATTTATGCTAGCGGCACTACGCTACATTTATGCTAGCGGCACTATGCTACATTTATGCTAGCGGCACTATGCTACATTTATGCTAGCGGCACTATGCTACATTTATGCTAGCAACAAAACCGCTACACGATTTACGATGAGTTCTCAGAGGCGAGTTAATAACGAACTCAATGCTAGAGTTTCTGGACCACTATAAAGTGAACATGCTTTACTACAACATAGATGTGCATACCTAATGCGACATAGAATGTCAATAATGCAATTGCCATCCAGTTTGTGTTTTATGATGCAAGCGAAATGAATTTTGGAAGTTAATTAATGACAGGTTTACGACCGGCATCGCCGTTCACTAACGCACACAGAGAAAATGTTATACAAATCTGCAATAGCTCTAAATAATATAGATGCACTCAATGTTGCTAGTCTTCATAAATTAGTGCATGTAATCATTATTTGCTAGAAATTATGAGCACTCGAGTGATGCTTACACTATATTCTGCGTCATCATGCAACCGAACACGTCCTTGCATCGACAACTCCCTGCAAGAAACAAGAACGAAAACTAAATTTATTATCCAACGCATCACTCCATCACTAAACATGTTTGCAGGATCCACGCACGCACAAACTTTGACCTCCGGCAAGTACCACAACATGCAAATTCCGACAGAACTAACTCCATTAATAACATCAACATACATAACTTTTACGTAACTTATACAACATTTCATAACTTCCAACTAATCTCTCAGCAGCAGAAATCGAAATTTCTCGCACGCGTGTTGTTATTATTGCACCAGATTAACTATCGTCAGTGTCCCCACTCACTGCCGTCGTCGTCGTGCGTCATGCCGAGGTTGTGGCCGATGATGTGAGCGAGAGTGCTGGCCAGCTGCTGAGGCTCGACAGGGTTTGTCTCCTGGTTGACTCCCACCGCTCTACGAGTGCACATGCTGTCCGGCAGAGCCAGCCCCACCTCCCTGTTCTTGAACTTGGTGCCACTGTTATACGCAAAAACTTTCATGAGGCTGTGGTTCGTAAACACGTTCAGTGAACCCGGCATATACATTCCCTCACCCGCATGCCCACACACACATACGCCAGCCCCTACAAACACACAAACGCATGAGAATTTTTTGCAAAATTGTTCAATTTCACCATCTTGCCCCTCGTTGCCCCCTACCATCCCCACCCCCCTACGCTGACAATACACTGATATAGAGAGCGCCACTATCAGCGTCATACGCCCCCCTCCCCCCTACGCTGACAATACACTGATATACAATATATTCCCTCACCCACACACACCTCTACCCACGCGACCCCCTACTAAACAAACACACAAACACATGTTTTTCTTTTACTAAATTTACCAATTTCACCATCCTGCCCCTGCCTCCCCCACGTACTCTGACAATACACTGATATAGAAAGCGCCACCATCAGTGTGAGACTCACGTCAGCAGCTGGGCGGAGTCATAGGCGACGCGGAACAGCGCCGACTGGCTGTAGTCCATGAAGTTGAGCAGGGTCTGTCGCACGTCGGTGCTCGCGTCCATGCGCTCCTCGATGCCCCACACCTCGACGTAGACGACCACCAGCTTGGTGCTGAGCAGGCGAAAGTACTGCAAGTGCAAGCAGACAATCAGTGGAGAAAAATCGTCATCGCACATGCAGTGCCAAACACAAGTGCTCTGCTATATAACTGAGGCATAAAAGCAGTGGTTATTGGTAAAAATCATCATCACACGCCCAGTGCCAATACGAGTGGTGTCGTATCTAACTGAGGCATAGAGGTGACAGTGGTTATTGGTTCAAATTTACCTTCTTTTTAAGTTGGCATATATCAATCAATTCATTCAATCAATCAATCAATCTTTCATAAAAAAATTGTCATCTTTTTAAGTTTGCATATATCAATAATCAATACTTTCAATCATTCAATCAATCATCAATCAATCTTTGCTGATATGACACCTTGTAATCTTTTCCATTTCAAACATCCTCGTGATTAATATGAACATTTTGTTCCAAATCAGATGCTGTCTGACTTTCAAATTGATTTTATACATGTTTGATATTATGGCATGACATGATCACTTTTATCTCAAATTTATCATGAAAATTTTGAACTAAACGAATATGCACAATTTATTTCTCTTCTAGACTTTGCAAATGTAAGCCTAGACCGTACACATTTGTGTGATATCTTACTAGTTCAAAATATAAGTGTACAAAATGTCTGAGTGTATGTCCCAGCAACAAAGAGCAAGACAGACATAACAACCTACCATGTCTGCAATGTTGGCAACCTGCAGAGCATAGCCGACTGTGTCCGACACACTCGCGTTGTGCTGTTCATAGATGGCGCTGTCAACAACCATGGCTAACTCCAAGAACTTCTCATTTCGCATTGCATCGGTACTGCTCTATTTTTGTAGAAAGCACAAAACTTATTAGAAATATACCATTAGAAAATCACATTGCTCATGAGAGAAGTCAACATCGAGTGGATTAGACAGTAAATAGCAAGAAGTTCTATAACTGTCTTGATGAATCAAACCGGTGATTAGAGGAGCAGAGACATTCTATGGGAACAATTGTTATAACGTGACATATTGGTATCCTCTATTTACCTCTGGATGAAGATCACTCCTCTGTCCAGCAGAGAACCCCCACTCATGCCTGCCCGTGTTACCTGCAGACGAGTACAACATAATTTTTAAATAAAAATAAAAATACTAATATGATTAAATTAAAATAATTAATAATTAAAAACATTATGTATCATTTTTCAATTAAAAATAATATTTAAATAAAATTACTTAAAAAAACACACCAATAAAGTTGGTGCTGTAGAGTAGTTTCAACTGACCCCATTTATTTGTGTATAGTACACTTAGACAGTGTAATTACAATACAATACGATAAAATATTGTCTCCCCACATCAAACATTCTACTGACTATATTTGTGATAGTAACTTTTTTCTACACGAACTCATACATGTCAAATGAAGGTGACATAGATATTTCTCTACGTGGCATTCATTCAGTGCATTCCATCACACACCATTAAATCACAAGTTTGTACCAATACACGAACTAAGGCAACAGCCTTGCAGATGTACGAGTCAAACGACTTGGCACCAGTCTATGTAACAGAGAATGCTTAGTGTGTGACGGTTTTTTTTCCAGGATGGAATTTACAGAGCAAACATTAACTAGCATGCTTTATCTGACATTTAGAAAGCTCTCATAAAACGAAAAAGATTAATTATTACTCAAAAACTACACCAAACTAATTCAACAGTTAAATTGCTGATCCCAGTGATTGCCTTACCACAAAGCCGATGGTCTTGCTTTGATGACTCATAAAAGATGTGTGGATATCGTTTCTGCACAAGAAATGCAAATTATGCATTAGGCACAGAGCTGACTAAGTCACATGTCACGAGCAAAGAGCAAGGGATGATAGCTATTACAGCACCAAAAAATTAGTAAAATGTCGAATGTAAAAACTTTTTAGAAACCATTATTGCAAATAATATTTCAAATTGTGCTTGCTCTATCATTTCAGTCATGAGATGTCAAATGTAAAAAAAATTCAGAAATCATGATTGCAAATAATATTTCAAATTGTGCTTGCTTGCTCTATCATTTTAATCATGTGATACTGCTGATGAAACGTACAAGGCTCTCTCCTCTTATGCGTTTTCGCTTGACCGCTGCCTCACAGATTACCATGCTGTGAGCCGATGCTTACCCCTAGATCACCACCAAGCACTGGCTGGATAACGTAGGTCTTGTTGGCAATGTGGATGACCCCACTGACCCCGCTGCATGTCCGCACAGCTACCACTGACCCTGGATGACCTCTCACGGTGCCCTGGTAGTAGCAGTGCTCCACAGGCTGCGTAGAAGAAAGAAAGAAAAACGCGATGAGCGATGCGGCAAAACATCCAACCCTTATGTATCGCCTAACGAGCCTGAATATACCTATTATATACTGTATATACCTATTACCTAAATATATCTAACACCTATTGTTCGAGAGCATGCATGAACCTGCAGCTACCTTGACTTGAGATAGCTTCACGATTGCTCCCTACAACTCTGAGATGGGAGTCGCAGGATGGAATGCCATGTGGTTTTGCGTATATATATATAGCTCCTCGGCTCTCGCATAAATATAGGATAGTCTTATAGATGGAATAGAATAGATACAGAATAGTCTATGATTATATATAATAACATCAGGAGTAAGATAATATAGGCCTATATTATCTTACTCCTGATAATATGATTCTCGTTGCAAAAGTATCCCAATGGTAGGTGCTGCCACCGCACGAGTCCTGACCGACGGCTCATTCACTAGCGCAGAACGTTGGGTACTGCTGGAACAACGGCTAGTTTCCGCGCGAAGGCTGGCAGACCGCAAGTTTAAATACCACTGCTGCAGCATCAGCGTCTGCAGCAAGCCGTATAAATGATTACTTACAAAATTTCATTACATTCCTGTAATTCGGTTCACTATTAAATCAGCTCTCTAGTTTTGATGCAACATGGATGCTATATTGCAGCATCACATGTATTTATTGAAGAGCTAATAGATTTTATGGAGACAATTTTACCTCATATGCGTCTTTGATCAGTTTTCATTTATAGCTAGAGTTAGTCAACTTTTACATTAACCAGGGCAGCACATAAACCTAATGACCTCGCTTTCTCTGATCAGAGTACACATGAGAACAGGGGTGAATAAATTTTTTCATTATTCATCCCTGATGAGAACCTATTCGCTATGCAGATCTACTCGCTGGCTAACGATTACCAAACGACTTGCTACTACAGTCTCCACTTGACCAGCTCCTGCTACTGATGAAGATTGCCCATCCCCTGTCCCTACTTCAGAAAGATCGACAATTGACCGGTCTGTACTATCGCAAGAACGCTGCGTCTGTCACCGCCCCGGAGTCCAGTGAGCAGACCAATAAAATGTGTGGATGACTCACGCCTGTGTGACGGCGGAGCAGCAGCGGCGGCGTGTGACGTCAGGTTACACAATGACAGCAGACGAGAACGCGGGAGCGAACATCAGAGTAAATGTCAGAATAAATGCGACCAGAGTCATCGCGACGCGGTGTCAATGACATGCAAGCACCACTTTCATTGTTCCGTCCCCATCTACTCGACTAGCGTGACAATTGTCGCGGACAAAAGGTGTATCTGCATATCGATGTCCAAAATCCGCGGTGCCTGGGTACACGCACGCATGACACTGCACGATGCATAATGCAGAATTCCCAGCCAAGAATTCCTTCCGAATATCACGCAGTGAGTGAAATGAAACAGCTATCAAACACATTTACGTCGTCGCGGGTCATGTCCGAAAGCTTAAAATAGCACATACTAGCTATACCGTAAACTATATACGCGTATATGCGTATATTATATATAGTAAGTGGATACTATATAGCGTGCGGGCTGGCTTTAAAAGGTAGGTGCGCGCCCAGAGAATTCACACGAACTCACTGCAGAAATAGCAGCGCTATCCCCGTAACTTGCTCCTTCCCGCACGCTTAGCGCGTACAGCCCGCCGATCTGAACAACTTGAAATTCAGGTTTTCTCGGCCGTCGCCGCAGCGACTAATGATCAACAAGATATGCGCGCCATTAGATTCGCCGTATTCCAATAACCTCGAAACCTCGTAAATATCGAAGACGGAAAGAGACAAAGTTGATCAAATAGACAGATCAACACTGCGGATCGCAGTAGAAAAAGCCTCAAGTTTGCAACTAACTAAAGAGGAAGGGAGCGAATTCCAATACGGAATGACAGAAACACAGAAGCTAAACTTAAAGGGATCCTTTGAAGATGACACTTGTCGAAAGCAACGATAACTCTAATGATCGATGAGCAAAAGCAGAGGAAGAATACGATCCTAAGCATATCTGCATCTTTACATGAGAGAACCCATGCTGAGCAGCGGATATTATCTCGTGCACCACAATGTTCAGAGCTGATAGCACATAGAAACGCAATAATAACGTATTATAGCAAAACAACAGAGTCGTATTGCATAACATAGAGATGTAGATTGCTGCGCGCCTACACTCCTCCTTTGCAAACAATGTTCAGAGCTGATAGAAATAGCATATAGAATCTCAACGACGCTCCATGCTGCCGTAACTGCGGGCATTCTCATATCTCTGTCTCCCGTGCGTAGATCAATGATGATATTATCGGAACGTCATTCAATAACCTAATGGCACTCACTACTATTTATTTTTCACAATTAGGTTTCATGATCGGGATCTATTAAATTAAGGCAAGTAGGCCTAGCTTCCCCGGAGAAATGTCATTCCCCTTCTGGTGCCCTCCATATTTCTCGCCCCCTCTCTCTCTAACTCCCTCCCACCTTCCATCCCCCTCTTTCATTCTCTCTCTCTCTCGATTTTTCTCAACCTGTTTATCTTTCTCTCCTTCTTTATCTTCGTTTCGCGCTCTATATTTCTTTCTGTCCGCTTCCTATCTGACAAGTCGGGGACTTTCTTTGTGTCTCTCTTTCCATTCCCATCCATCTCTTCCTCTTTATCTTCCACTCGTTCTCAAGCTCTATCACTCGTGCCCGCTGTCCATTTGATCATGACGGATCGTGACAACAATCTGATAATGAATATATGGCTTCAGCGTCCACATCCTGTGAGCATGTAGCAATAGCTAGTAGCAGCTGGTCAAACGACCATGCCACCTACACGCGATGTCCTATTATCAGGAGTGTCATAATATAAACATTCTATTATATATATTATATATCAGAGTTTCTAATAATTTAACATCGCCGTTGTGAAAATGTTTTTGTATTTACCCGCCGTTGTCAAAATAGTGTCAACCCAAAAATAAATAGATCACCACGTGTAGTCTATAATATATATTCTATATTATGACACTCCTGCTATGATGTTATACAGGTCACGACTACGTGACCCGTATTGCTACGCTAGTTCTATGTATGCTGATTGGATGCATATGCTAATGAAACAGGCACTCGTTATACGATCGTAAATCAATAAGTCACTAACGAAATACGGGATGTCCTCTCCTCGCGTGTGCGTGAGTCACCTTTATAACATCTGTCCGGCCGAACTGCGGGTATACTGCGACATGACAGAGATGAAATCTGCGACTGATTACTGGTATTGTCCTCGGTGGAGCCATTCAGCAGCGAGTGAACGAACTGACCATCTACCACCGACCCTCGCTATCTAGCCGCACCGAAAGATGCGTTTGTGCGAGTGCGCTAGACTGACACCGTACGTCGCTGAGATTCAACTGGCAGCCAGCTGTTGGGCTCAGTCACGAGGACTGTTGTGGCCAGTCTAGCGAGAGAGAGAGAGAGAGAGAGAGAGAGAGAGAGAGAGAGAGAGAGAGAGAGAGAGAGCAGAGAGAGAGAGAGACGAGAGAGAGAGAGCAGAAGAGAGAGAGAGAGAGAGAGAGAGAGAGAGAGAGAGAGAGGGAAGAGACAGCAGAGAGAAGAACGAGAGCACGCCGAGAGAGACGAGAGAGAGAGAGAGAAGAGAGAGAGAGGAGAGAGAGAGAGAGAGAGAGAGAGAGAGAGAGAGAAAGAAGAGAGGATTGTCCTATATAATATATAATATACTAGAGAGAGAGAGAGACGAGAGAGACGCGAAGAGAACGAGAGAGAGAGACGAGAAGAGAGAGAGAGAGAGAGAGAAGAGAGAAGAGCAGCAGACGAGATCTCGGAGAGAGAAGACAAGGCAACGGAGAGAGAGAGAGAGAGCAGAGAGGCCGAGAGAGAACGAGATAGAGAGAGAGAGCGAGCAGAAATACGCGGAGCAGAGAGCGACGAGAGAGAGGAGAGAGAGAGCGAGAGAGAGACGACGAAAAGAGAGAGAGAGAGAGAGAGAAGAGAGATAGGAGAGAGAGAGATAGAGAGAGATGAGAGACGAGCAGAGCGTGTGTGATGTGTCGGGTGGGGTGGGGGGAGTCAGCGAGGATGCCATGTTGGCTGGACTGCGTGAGAGATGCGGACGCTGCTGCTGCTGATTCATCGATGGTCGGCAGCAATTAATCACGGTGACAACTACACCACTGCCACGCAGACAGCAGCACCAGCAGTAGCAGCAGCAGCAGTAGTAGCACCAGCAGTAGCAGCAGCAGCAGTAGTAGCAGCAGCAGTAGCAGCAGAAGCATACAACATTAGGAGCAGCACAAGCAACAAGCAACAGCAGCAGCAACAGCAGTAGCAGCAGCAGTAGCAACAGCAACAGCAGTAGCAGCAACATCACCACCACCACCACCACCACCACCACCACCACCACCACCACCACGCAGCAGCAGCAGCACCGCCGCCGCCGCCGCCGCCGCCACCAGCAGCAGCAGCAGCAGCAGCAGCAGCAGCAGCAACAGCAGTAGCAGCAGTAGCAACAGTAGTGATCGCGCCAATTAGGTCGCGGTGGTGAAACGATGCGACACGAGGAGGAGGAGGAGTGTGAAGCTGTTGAACGATGGCTTCCCCACGTCACACCCCAGTTCTTATTATTTCATGATGTCCGCAATAGCTATGAGCCACGATGTGTCACCGTTGCTATGTAGCTACCCGTAGCGATGTCACCCTTCACACTGCACGGAGGAACTTGTACATCCCTATGTAGCTACGCGTACAATGTCACCCTTCACACGAAGGAACTTGTACATCCTATGTAGCTACCCGTACATTGTCTCCCTTCACACGAAGGAACTTGTACATCCTATGTAGCTACTAGCTACCCGTACAATGTCTCCCTTCACACGAAGGAACTTGTACATCCCTATGTAGCTACGCGTACAATGTCACCCTTCCCACGAAGGAACTTGTACATCCTATGTAGCTACCCGTACATTGTCAC